GTTACACAGGATGTGGTCATATCTATGGCGCGCACTTCCCTTGATTGTCATTGGTTAGTTTAAAGAAATCCTGGGTGTGGCTAGCAGAGGCTTGGGCTTCCGGGAAGAAGCCTTGCCAAGCACATGGCTGCCCAAAAATGGAGGACCCAGGGTAAGATGGAGGGCGTAGTCCTCGCCCTTTCAGAAACAACCAAGTGCCTTATCATTATTTTCTTCATTGTTTTTCAAGCTCTAGCACAATAATCCAGGTTCCTATGGGACCTGCAAGGGAATGGCTTCTGCAGTACATTTAGCCACTGGCCTCCAATGATTCTAATTCATTTTCCCCTTATTACAGACTGTGGAGAGGGTTTCCACACAATAGTCTCTTACCCGCCAAGAGCATGTACAGTTCCCCCATCTTTGGCTGGAAGTTGATGGCTGCACTGAGAAAATGGAAAGCTGATGCATACTGCTGCATGGTCAAGTGAACAAGGCCCAGATTATAGAGAATCTTCCAATCAAAGGGTGCCAAGTAGTTGGCTCGTTTCAGGCAGCTGATAGCCTGCAGGAGAGAGGGGCACTTGATGAAGGTGGGGCAAGCTGGGCAGACCCAATAACACAAACAAGGAAGGTGAGGAGACACTCACTGCTACATATTTCTTCTTGCCAAAGAAACACATTCCAATGTTATTCCAAAGTGGAGGACTTTCTGGAACAGCAGAAGCTATAACTCTGTATTTGGTGAGGGCAACATCAAAGTCTCCATGGGTCTGCATCATGCTGCCTGCTGCCAAGATGGCCTGAAAACACAGGACATGGGAAGTTGATAATTCAGTCATTCCCAAAAGGCTATAGCAGTGAAGGAGCCTTCCTGGGTGTAGATAATCTCACAGCGTGACTGAAAAACTTCCAGGGACATATAAAATATATTCAAGCTATTAGGACAAATGCTCATGAGAAACCACTGCACCCCACACTCTGGCTCTCTTTGGCACAGTACAGAAAAAGAAAAGATAAAATGTCACTGACTTTACCCAGCTCATTTGTTTCCTACTTCTAACTGGAGAAGGCAATATTTCTGAGCATACTGCCTTTAATCTGTTCCCTGTAGCCTCTACTTGATACACTAAGTGCTGCTCCAGACAACTAAAATACTCCTTTCTTGGCCACTTAAAGTATAGTTCCTTCTGCCACAGCACAAAGGTGACACAGCTTTAGGCTTCATCAGTCCAGGGTTCAGGCTAATGTGGCTCTGAGGTAGGACTGAGTCTGTATCCTTCACAGCCTGTTATGCTGCATCTCCCTCAATGACATTCATCCACTTGATGATCTTCTCACCCCTAAGGACATATCTGGACAAGGTTGTAATTGCAAATTCATTAAGAAACTAGAAATCAGCCAGGCCGGTTTGGCTCAGTGGATAGAGCGTCGGCCTGCAGACTGAGGGGTCCCGGGTTCGATTCCGGCCAGGGGCACATGCCTGGGTTGCAGGCTCGGTCCCCAGTAGGGGGCGTGCAGGAGGCAGCCGATCAATGAATGATTCTCTCCCATCATGGATGTTTCTATCTCTCTCTCCTTGTTCCTTCCTCTCTAAACTCAATAAAGAAATATATTTTAAAAAAAAAAAAAAGAAAAGAAACTAGAAATCATTTCACCAGAAGTATTTTTGACAGTAATTGTGGAGGCTTTGCTAATTTCGTAAATACATAAAACTTTACCAGCACTACAATTTTGCTTTCTGCCTAAGTTACAGGTCTGTTATAACAAATGTGCTCTTTTGGAAAATAACAAGCAGAACACAAACACCTTATAATATTTTCAAATGAGAAGAGCCATGTTTATTTATAATTTTTCTAAGAAAAAGGTAATTTCTCAGGTATTCAAAATGCTTTCTAGGGCCAGATCACCTCTAGGAGTGGACCATCTATGTGAAGGCTCTGGGGTTTGACAGCCTGCAGTACCTTATAGTTGATAGGGTCATAAGTTAGCGCATTTCCGAGGTGTTCAAATGCCTTCTTGTAAAAACCAACCTTGGAGAAAAAGCAAACGAGAGAATTGTATCAGCAAGGAGATAGCAGTTCAGCAGTCTGGCCAATTACACCCTGAAGCACCCTGACTTTTCTGAGTTCTCTTCACAAAACAGAGCTACAGATACCAGATAGAAAAAGAAAACTAAAAATCCCCACATTTGTCCCTTGATAAGATCAAAGTATCCATTTGCCAGGAATTATCTCTGCCATAATATGCTCCACACTAATGTCTCTTGGCAAGAAATGGGCTGGTTAGCCTCATCTCCCCTGGGGCCAGTCTCCCAAGTCAAAGCCAGGAAGGCCCAGGAATTAAACTCCTAATTCCTTTTAAAGAAAAATTTAACAAACAGAAAGGCTACCAAAGAGGCAGAACTGGAGGCAGGATCAGCTGAACAGTGAACTTTGGGAGTTGATGGGGGAATGGGACGGGTAGAGGTCCCTCCAGGACCTCTGGGCCCCAGTGCTCAGGCTGATAAGAAGTGATTGAGCTAAAAGAATTTCATTCATACGCAGGAAGGAGACAGACTTCTTATTTTAGACAATGTTTTACCTTCTCTTTCCTATAGGACCTGGCTGGGAAGAAGGAACAATAGAAATGGCCTTAGCTCCAAAGCCCTGATAGTGATAACTTGTATCAGTCTCTCTCCCCACAACAAAATGACAGTCCTCATGACCAGTTATTTCTCATATATGCGCTTTCCTTTAAAAATTATAATTGCAGTTTTTATTTGAATGCAGAAAATTAATTCCTTTAAGAGATAAAGAATATAATAATACAGAGAGTAATGTTGGTGTGCTTCATATGAACTTTAGTAAAATGTGTTAAAATAAAATCAAAATGCAGGGAAACCACAATACACATAAATTCAGAAGTATTTCTAACATCAATGCATGAATGAGTAAAGAGTTCTCTTTACCTGTAAGTAGAGTAAACCTAAAGTTGTAAGAAGTTCTGTATTTTCTGGTGAGAACCTGCAACACAGAGATGAACACAGAGATGCTCAAAGGGAAACAAGATGTGAATGAGATACTGAGGCACATGCACAGTGACATGCCCTCATGCAACATCTGAAAGACAGTGTGTCCCACTCTCCATGGAAATTCCCCAAGACGACTGGGAAACTGCCTTCAATAGTATGTCATCTCAACCCCAACTACAGGGAGGATTGCTCAACAAGAAAGAAATAGGACTTAGAATCCAGACTCTTTTTCAGAACCATTTCTTAGAGTCCAAGTCCTAAGACAAAACCTATTGAATATTTTGTGTGACTGTCTTCATTATACTGACAGAATTAAAGAATAATTCTTTATAAACCAAGTCAGTATGGAACACACATAGCTTTAGCCAGTTTCCTTCTGGTGGGATTTCTTTCTTTTTTTTTTTTTTTTTTTCTTTTTCCTGTTCTCACTGTATGCACAATGGCAACCTGTATAATTTTCTGTGTAATTTAGGATCCCAAGGGCCCTAATGCTCTGCTCTACACATTAAACAAAAAGCCATGGTAAACCGTCAAACTAAACAAAAAAAGGAAGACATACCAGCTCTGGGAAAGAATTAGCCATTGGCTTAGGTAAAAGATTATCTGCTTTCCCAATCCCTCACTAATATTTGTCTTTGTTACAAAACTAAAGCTACCCTGAGCTAAGATGATCTGACTACAGGATCATCAGACAGTACCAACAGTAAAAATGCCAAAGGTGAGGAACAGTGTTGCATGCTTCTAAGCAATGAGATAGGACGCTGGTTACCTATCAGGCGACCAGAATCAGAGGGGCCAAAACCCCAGCCAGGGAGACCTGAGCTGGCCAAACAAAGCTTACTCAGTTCAACTGAGTATTTGCCCTTCACTCTGCCATAATAAATATCCATTTTCATCACCTCCCTCCCCCAAACTAACTTCTATGATTCTGGCAACATCCCTCCCCCAACCAAAACTGCTATCTCCAAGCTGTGGCTCTCCACATTCTCAGTGAGGCTCCAAATGCTCAGCTGTCCTCTTGGAAATTCCTGTGACTTAAGTCCTTGACCAACCACTGGAAGATGTGAGACCACGGCCAGCGTGGCCTGGGTTCAAAGACCTAGAGAAAGGGCTGACACACAAATTAATACACAAGACAAGAAATATAAATTTGGAAATTATGGGGGAAGCCAGTTGTGAACTTGGTTCGAGAGACCAAGTTCCACTGAGTCTCCGTTCCCATCGGCTTTTTATTTACTAGAATACACAATTGCCTTTTAGGAATGCAAACAGGCATATCAAAGGTAATGTTTAGTAAACGGTAGGATTATCAGGTTGGGGGAGTTTGCCTTCGGCCATTGACTTAGCAGCAGGGTAATAACAATGCAAACATTTAGCCTTCTGAATATCAAAAGCCCCATTGGACTTCTCCCATTTATATTAATTACTGTTGATCTTGGCTCCCAGCAGGAAGAATGTCACCCTTCAGATTTATGTGCGCTCATCTTCTAGAAGCCAGGGGTCACAAATTAAGGCTTTCAGCAGCCCCACAGAAGCTTAACATATGCTATGTGGGCTCCTTCCTACTTGTCCACATAAACATAGCCTCTTGATGACAAAAGTCTCTCTTGTAACTTAACAAACCAGGGATTTTTCTATCTTTTTAGGCACAAAATATGACTGAAAAAAATTCAGAAAGCTGTTATGACTGATAAAACCAGAAAAGTTACTATATCATTACTATGGAAGAAGACAAAGATAATAAACATATTAATTTAACAAATTAAGTTTAGTTCGTAGTCTAATTATCAGGAATACTAGACTCTGTGACCAGGAATTCTATTAAATGACCAAACAAACGAGACATTAAAGCATCATGGCGACAGCTATCCCATTTAAAACAAGGAAAAACCCTATACAGAAAAGGCAAGATAATGTGTGTCTAGAGAGAAAACATGGGACACCATCCTGGAAAGCCAGTCAGTTCCATCATCAATAGGAGTTTTAAAAAAATAATATATTTTTTTAAAAAAACAAGATATTGGTCTCATGCTAATAAGACCCTCCTCCCAAGCATGTGTGCCCACTTCCCTTATAGCTGGATGTGGCCACCTCATTAATTTTGAACCATGGAACACAAGCATGAATGAGCTGTGCAACTTCTGGGCCACTTATAACACTACAAGCTGTTCACTCTGTACTTAGTTTCCGGTACCACCTCCCCCCACCACAGCCCAGAACAGCCGTGGGCAAACTACGGCCCGCGGGCCAGATCCGGCCTGTTTGAAATGAATAAAACTAAAAAAAAAAAAGACCGTACCCTTTTATGTAATGATGTTTACTTTGAATTTATATTAGTTCACACAAACACTCCATCCATGCTTTTGTTCCGGCCCTCCGGTCCAGTTTAAGAACCCATTGTGGCCCTCGAGTCAAAAAGTTTGCCCACCCCTGGCCCAGAACATGGTGGTTATAGTAAGTCAGTTTCAACCATTGTTACAGTAATAAGTCTAGTGATATGAGACACTGAAGACGCCAAGCTTCAAGGATTTAAGGAGAGCAAATCTGCTGCGGTTCACTCTTGTCTGCCCTCCACAGACAGGACGTTCTCCTCCCCCCCTGGAACTGCCTAACTGCGAAACTACCATTCTTGCTCTGCCTTGAGCCCAGACTGTTAAGAGGCCTCTCTTCGAGTCAAGAAACCAAGCTCCTTGCCGCGGCATATTTTGACGACCTCCGTGTGTCTCCTCTGTCAGCGAGTGTCTCCGGGTGGCCTGCCAAGGACTGAAACCCATCAGCTCTCTGGTAAATAAACCTGTGTGATTTCTTGCATTGTTTATCTCCTATGTCTCTCTCTCCTTAGTTTTTGGTTAAGCTCGGCCATATTAATTAATATTAAGTACCCTTTGATGTCTGTATTAGTATATCCAAATGAGGCACTTTGGGTCACCTGTGCATATGTTCCATAGATAACTGGAACAACCATGCAGGTGAAGACAACAAGCTAACCAATGGTGAGTCAATAATGAAGGAATCTAGGTCCCTGATTGCCCTTGTAGAGCAGAGTCACCCACCTAGGCTAAACCAGCCATACTAATAGGTGAGAAAGAAATACAAATCTTCCTTATTTAGGCCACTGGGATTTCTTAACCTTAGCTTAACATTTACTCTAACTCATACAACTAGTTATCAGTCATATATATTCTCTCATAGGCTTGAGAATTCATATATCTACTCCCCCCCCCTTTTTTTTAAGTCCTTCCTTGCTCTAAAGCTGGGGAGTTGGGGAGACCTTTTTTCTGCCAAGGGCCATCTAGATAATTTATAAGATCATTTGTGGGCCATACAAAATTACCAATTTAAAAATTATCCTGCTATATTTGGTCAAACAATTAACTCACCACTAATGCCTTGGCAGGGCCAGATCAAATGATTTCATGGGCCTTATACGGGGCAGATGTTCCCCACCCCCGCTCTAACGGAAACAGGCACACTTACTCCACAGCTTTCTTGTAGATTTCGATGGCCTTGTCCAAGTCTCCCGCCAGCAAGTGAATCTTCCCCAGCATTATGTAAGTCAGATCATGCCTATTAAGATGTAGGGCATGGTGCAATTGGTCTTGTGCCTAATAAGATTGATGAAGGGAATGAAATCACTACCATGAAAGGATAATGGCTTTGTAGGGGTAAAGCAAAAAAGGAGCTCCTGCTATACTAATATAGGAACATCCCATTTCAGCCAATAGTCAAAAATAACAACACGTACCAAAACTGTACTTGCTGACAGGACAGCTGGAAACATGAAGTATCTGCCTCTGGAGCCACTTGGAAGAATTTTTATAAGACGACTAACTTTTTGAATGTTTTCTGCTTCTTTTCTCTCTTTTTTTTTAAATCCTCACCCGAGGATATTTTTTCCATTGATTTTCAGACAGAGTGTGAAGGGAGGAAGGGGGCAGGGGAGACAGAGAGAGAAACATCGACTGGAAAGACAAACATCGATTGGTTGCCTCCCACATGCACCCCAACTGTGGCCGGGGATCGAACTCGAAATCAAGGTACTTGTCCTTGACAGGGAATCAAACCCACAACCCTTCGGCCCATGGGCTGATCCTCCAACCACTGAGCCAAACCAGCCAGGGCTGTTTTCTGCTTCTTAATAATCATACCCATGACTCATACTTCACAAGTCAAAAGGGACATTATAGTACAGTATACAGCACTGCCCAGCTGTACCAGTGACCAACTGCACAACCTTTCCCAGAGTGGACTTCATTTTCCTCAACAATATTTTGATAAATAAATGAATGGATTGTTTTCATTGATTCACTCAATATGTACTCACTGAGTACCTGTTGTTCTAGAGATGCTAGGTATATTAGAGCTAACAAAACAAACTCCTTGCTCTGGAAAAGCTTATATCCTTCCTAGTTGATGGTCAAAAGGACTTTTTTTAGTGATTCACTGGTTCAACAATAAATGTCAAGTATTGTATTTGCTCTGTTAGCTTTACAGTAAAATTTAAATATAATCTTCTTCTCCTTTACACATCTGACCAAAGACCAACCTGCCTCTCCCTTGCCTCATAATAATCCTGTAAATAGAAATGTAGAAATGTACTTGCTTGGAATATCCTCTGAAGAGAAAAATCTCCTAACCAAATATATAACACTGTAGATCTGCCCAGTGGACAGGGGATATATATATATATA